AAATATTATATTTATTCTTGACTCATGTGACAGTTTCAGACTCACAAAATAACTCAACTATTTAGCAGTAATTACAGCATGATCACAAGTGTCACATGACAACCATGTTCAATGTCTTCAAAATCATATATCTGGACAGTAACATCCATACTTCACCCCTCATTCCTTTGTTATGAAGAGAAATATTTACTGCTATGACTCTGTTCCTTCTATTTTTTTTTGGTTTATTATAATAAACATCAAAAGGGTCTCATGCCAAAAATTAGTAATTATAGAAAGAGCACAAATTATCCAATTTTGATTCCCACCACACATATTGCTGAAAAAACACATTAGAACAGAAGAGTTTAAGATTTAATATATGTCCAACTTTTTATTTTCTTTTCTACTTCACTGAGACAAAGACATACTTGTATTTCTTCCTCTGAGAAGTATATATTCATCACAGATGCCCATTTTTGGATTCGGTCTTTGAATTTGGTGGGGCCTGATTTGTTTTTAATTTTTTGTATGTACTAGATAGAAGGCCTTTGTCAGAGAAGCAGTCAGCTATAAATTTTTCCCAGTATGTTGATTTTCTTTTACTTTGCTAGTGATTTGCTTTGAAGTGCAGAAACTTTTCAAAATGATGAGATCCCAGTTGTTGAGTCTTTGAAGTATTTCCCATACAGTTTGGTTTTTGTTCATGAACTCTCTACCTACCTCTATGTCTTTAAGATTCCTACTTATATTTTCCTCCAGATGATTTAGTATTTTTGTTTTAATATTTAAATCTTTGGTCCATTTTTTTTTATTAAACATTCTTTTTATTTTAATTTTATTTATTTGTGTGTGTGTGTGTGTGTGTGTGGCCAGCTCAGTCCACCAGGGGGCAGGGCTGGCTGGCATGTGGTGCTAGGGGATTGAACCGCTGTCCCTGTGCTTTGCTAAGCTTGTTTTAAGTAGGTGCTTTAGACCACTGAGCCATCTCACCAGCCCCCCCCCTTTTTTTTCACCAGCCCCTTTGGTCCATTTTGACTGTAGCTTTGTGCATGGTGATGGGTTGTTTCAGTCTTCAGCATATAGAAAGCCAGTTTTTTCAGCATCATTTATTAACGGGGCCATTGTAGTTCCAGTGAGCCTGTTTGGTCCCTTTATCAAAGATAAGATGGCTGAATGTGTTTGCAGCTGTGTCTGTATCTTCTACTCTGTTCCACTGATACTCAGGTCTGTCTCTATGCCAGTACCATGCTGATTTTATCATAGTAGCTTTATAGTATAATTTCAGGTGAGGAATTGTGATACCTCCTGTCTTTCCTTTGCTCCCCAGGATTGCTTTTGATATTCTGGATCTCCTGATTCCAAATGAATTTGAAGACCAATGATGACCAATCTGGATCCAATCTGGATCCAATCTGGATCCAGTCAAGGCTCATACACAGCATTTCTTGTTTCTTTAGTCTCAGTATAAAATGTTTTCTCTAGATCTGTGAGGTATACTAATGGTATTTTAATCAGGATTGTACTGAATCTGTATAGGAATTTTGGGAGTATAGTGCAGTGTAATTCTATATCATCTAACCTATATGCAGATTTTCTCATCTATCACTGAAATTCTTTCATAAATGAGTCATTTCAATCTGGATCCAGTCAAGGCTCATGCACAGCATTTCTTGTTTCTTTAGTCTCACTATAGAACAGAACTCCTAAAGTTTTAGGCAAGTCCAGCCAACTGTCCTATGGAATGTCAATTATTCTCTGTGTTTCTATACCTTTTATTTTCTGCACATTTGATGGATTTAATTTGAATCAGATTTGCCATTTCTGGCAAAAGCATTACATAGTTTATGCCCTGTACGCATCTTACTGTATTGAACTGGATGGCATACAAGGTCAGCATGTACCACTATCAGTGATGCTAACTTTCATGAACTACTTAGGGTAGCGTCTGTCCCTCACACTGCTTTATTGTCAAAAAAATCATTTTAATTAGTAAGAAACCTGTGAGAAATACAACGACATTATAAATGCCCCATTTCTCAATATTCTTTTACCAAGTAGCTTCAACAACTACCTAAAACAGAGGAGAGAAGTTGTAGACTAGAGATGATTCTATCATGTCTCTTACACTGATTGACTAAAGTTCTTTTATAATACAGTTTTCTTTCCTTTACCAAACTGCATGAGGTTTTCTTTATTTAATGCATTATAATCAACTCTTGCTGTTAAGGTTGTCCCAAATGTCATCAGCATCAGCCCTCTCAATCAGGTACCCTATTAGTATTTCTATTCTTCTTTGTTATTTGGCCCAAGTTATCCAAGGCTCACATTGTACAATTTTGGCCTCACGCCTGGAATAAGCCATTTCTTAAAGCAATTGTCGCTCCTTTGAAAATGGAGTGCTATTTAGAAATGAGAACTGGACAATAACAGCCACAGAACCTGTGCCATGCTGGCCACTGACACTGAGCACGGTGGCGCACACTCGTAATTCCAGCATTAGACAGGCCGAGACATGAGGATCACTGTAAGTGCAAGCTATGTAGCGAGACCTGATAAGAAAGAAAGAAAGAAAGAAAGAAAGAAAGAAAGAAAGAAAGAAAGAAAGAAAGAAAGAAAGCAAGCAAGCAAGCAAGCAGGAATTTTAGAAAAAGAACTGGGCACTAGATATAGTCATTGCTTTTTGAGTGGACTCATTTCAACACAGGATTAGTGACTAGAGGCTTTTGTTTCTTTTTTATTTCAAAATCACAAACTCATGTTAACATTCTCAACTTCAATGTTATATAAATTTCTTTGCAACTTAATTTTGTATCCATGTGTCTTTTTATATCACAAATCTTGGCTCTGATAACATTAATGTATTTACTGTTCTGTTCTATCCTTGTTATGTGCCCTTTAAATCATAATGATATAACTACCAATAAACTGACTGAATGATGTTTAAAAGTTCTTTGCAGCCTTTTTGTTTTTCAAGTAGATCACATTAAGCATAAGTCAGAGGACACTGTTGACAAATTAGCTGAAATAACTACTTTTATGAGTCAATATTATACCAAATTGCTAAACATAAATTCATTTGCTCTTTTGGTCTTCAGTTTCAGTATCATAATATCTTATTTTTTATTTAGTGTTCTTTTTATAAATTAAATTATTAATATGATCTCTTTTTAAAATTCATCTTCTTGGTCTTCATTTGAGAAATATAGTAAGTCAAGAGGCTATATTTAAAAAACTCAAAACTATATAAGTAGGAAATCTCAGTGAATCCTATCTCTCATCCTCATCCTCTCCACATTATTTAACACACATCCCTATATAACCATTTTCATTAGTTTATAACTTTATTGTGATATATTTCACATGTTGCAAATTAAATTTTAAAAGGGAAATTAACATTTTTGTATAGTCACATGATACTGCAGCTGCCAAGATTCAATAAGTTATCATTACTGCAAAAAAGAAATTCCACAACTATTAACAGTTACACTCTATTCCTTCTCATACAACTACTTCTTGGTCCTTGGCAACAACTAATTTATTTTCTGTCCTTACAGATTTAGCATCTTACATAAATGGAGTCATATATAGACTTTCATGTCTGATTTCTTTTACTTAGCTTGCTTTCAAGGTTTATCCATAGCATAGCATATATCAGAACTTCATTACTTTTGATGGCCAAATAATATCCCACTGTACTGCTATTTTGTTTATCCATTCATCCATTGATGGAATTTGGCTATTCTCACCTTTGTATGACTATGAATAATGTTATGAACATTTATATACAAATATTTGTATCATCATATGTTATTATTTATTTTGAGGATTTACTTGGAATAGAATTTCTAGGTAATGTGATGACTCTGTATTTAAGCTTTGGGGTTACGAGCATTTTTAAAATTTATATTCCTGGTCTCCATTTGAGAAATATAATAAATGATGAGGCTATAAACATTTATCTGACTGGATTTCATTTGAGGAGAGTAACACAATGTGTGTGTACAATCCTATTTTCCTCACAGAAAAGGCTGCATATTTCATATCCTGATTTAAATTATTGGGTTTTTTTCTTTTTACTGATTTTTGGCTTATATCCTGAAATTTTTTATGTACTCTAGAAATTACTACAAAAAAAGTTCATGGATACCATTGTTATTCAGTTTTATTATGATTGCATAATACACAGTTCATTATACCTTCACGTACTCAATAAATCTCTACTGTTAGAATTGATATTATTTTCAATCTTTTCTTATTAAAATTGTGGTGCAATTACTAACCTCGCACATATTTGTACAGGAATATCTTTACACTTACGGTCTAGAAGAGGGACTCCTAGAATTAAAGTTTGCTAACTCCTTGCAAGAATGCTTTCTGCCTGTTACTGAGCCAGTTAAGTTTATCTTTATTTACAACACTGAATCCTCTGGCTAGGAAGCACCACTGTGGAGCCTATGTGCCCCTTCCACACACCTATCTCACAGCTCATCACTAAGCCTCCTCTCTGCAAAGCTGCTGTTACTACCTGCCACACCAGAGCAAGACAATGACAGGAATCCTAACAATTTGCACTTTTCGAGATTTTTGAACAGTGCTATGAACTGTTCTCAGGTTCTTTGTAATCCACATTAACAGTCCTGCAAGTTTGGCTTTACTATTGTCATTATACAGATGATCAAATAGGTTCAGAGCGGACTGCTTATAGGTAAAGGAGCTGCAGAGCTGCCACTCAAAACCTGTTTTGAGCAGCAGGCCTGTTACTTAATGGCAAAGCCTGTATCCATTGCACTCTACCACAGTGTTACTCTCTGACAAACAAGTTATCTGTATGATAACACTGAGAGGACACATGCAATGGTCAACACAAATACACCTTTTGTAGAGTGCTGAGTCGGTGCAGCAAGCAGTTGGGAATAAGAACTATACACACTGAGACGCATGAGCAGGTTGTCTGCAGTCCAGTCATGTGGGCCAGTACTCTGATAGGAATTCATTCTGAAAACCCAGCAGTTACTTACTTGACCAAGTGTCTTATCAAAAGTTCTAGCATCTCACGGTTCTTTTCTGGTAGCTTGTATACAAGGGAATGAATAGCTCCCAGCCGGTAATCCAGGTTGTCTGATTCTGTCAAAGGAAATAGAGTAAGAAATGGTTTGGCTTTCTAGACAAATGGATTGAGAAATTTTTCCTGTGTATATACACCCACATAAACAGACACAAAGGCAGAAATGTAGAAAAAGACAACCAGAGATACACACAGAGTCAAAGACAGATAAGTACAAAGAGAAGAGAGAACAAAAGCTATAGGAAAGCTAGAAAGTAACCTAAAGGGATGGCAAAAATAGAAGCTAGAAGAGAATACAAGACGGTCTCAGAGGCAGACAGAATTCTACTCACAACAGGTTGATCTTAAAGTAGTACACATAAATTTCTATTTGGAAACTCTTTTCCTGTTACCTTATCTTGGAGTAAACACTGGGATGCTGCTGCCCCTGGGTTCCCAGGAAAATTATCAGAAGACTTTCTTGCCTCAACAAAGACCCATTAATAGGTTAAGATTTTTGAATGCTTATCCTGCCTACCACATAGGGCACAATGCAAGATAAGATTGTGCCTAGCCAAAAGACATTCATATACAGTGGACTCAGCTAAAACTCTTAGTGGATTTTCAACTGCCAACCCTGCAGGTGATTCTGTGTGCTCTACCTCTCCAATATCCTTCAGTCTTATCCCTCAGTCTTTTCATCCAGAAAACTAGAAGCTAATGCTAAAAGTTTAGGTACAATACTTTACAATACAACTGAAAATAACTTCAAAAAAGTATTGAAAGAAGCTGAAAGAGCAGCTATAATGTAACTGTTTTGCTGGCCCTGAGTAATGTAAGCTAGTTTTCTTGTTCTGATGGAAAAGGTATTAAATAAAAATCTTTAGATCTGTCACAGCCCCTCAAATTAGCCTTTTCTCCCCAACCTATTCAACTAACATTGATTTATGAAAAATCATACAACTCGGGGCTGGAGAGATGGCTCAGTGGTCTAAAGCACCTACTTGAAACAAGCTTGGCAAAGCACAGGGACCTCGGTTCGATCCTCCAGCACCACATGCCAGCCAGCCCCGCCCCCTGGTGGACTGAGCTGGCCACACACACACACACACACACACACACAATAAATAAATGTAATAAATAAAAATAAATTTTAAAAAAAATCATACAACTCTTCAGTTAGCATTCAGGGATACTCTCACATGGGAATGTGCAAAATACGTGTATGTTTTTGGCGTTTAGGCCTTAAGCAGTTTTCTTGGCTTACTGATGTAAACCTTTTGAAGAAACCAGGTTAGCACAATTAAATAGTTACATAAATACTTACTGGCAGCTGAAACCAGCTCTTTATGAAGCCTGTAGGTCATGACAGGTTCAGAGAGATTCCTGAAATTATGGAAGACTGTAAGTTCCTTGGAGAGGGAGTAGTCAGACCTTGATTCCCTGTTCCATGGGCAGCATGGAAGAAATTTTGCAATCCCATAGCTTAGTATTTTTTCTTAAACTGAAGCTTTATAAAGGGAATGCAAGTTGCTAATCATTCAATAGAATACATACAAAAGTATAGGCTGAGGCATCTAGCAAGGTCTCCAATTAGCCTCTGAAAGTGAAAAGAAGGGCAAACCAGCCCTGCAGAAGTTCTGCAACAGACCTACTCTGAAGGCTACCATGCATCCCTTACAACTGAATAGATCCATGGAATTTCTGAAGTACTTTTGCATCTGTCTTTGCACATTTGTGCCTTACAATGATCCAGTATGATGAAATGATTACATTACTCAAATCCCAATTTGATACTCAGGCTGGGGAGATAGCTCAGTAGAATAAGCACCTGCCTGGCAAGTGCAGGGTCCTGAGTTCAATACCCAGTACCACAAAAAAAACGAAAAGAAAAAAGAAAAATATATGGTTTGAATTCCCCCCCCCAATTTGATACTCAAATGAGTTTTTCCATTTGCTGAAAATATATTGGCTGGTTAAACTACAACAACAATAACTTGTGTCTGGCATTGTTTCAAGTATTAGGGGTCCAGAGATGAATACAAAAATAATCCAACTTTTAAGAAGCTAAAAGTCTCTTCAAGAAAAATGCCACATACAAACCTCAATGCAGTAGGTCAAGTGCATAAACCAAAGGTATATGGTAAAGTGGCTCAGAGGAAAGAAGTAATGAATAACAGAGAACTTTCTATTGTCTCAAGTGATGTATGTTTTAACTTATTTAAGTTTCATGGCAACCTGAGGAAGGGGGGAGGTATGATTATCTCCATTTCACAGAGGAGGAAAATAAGCACTGGGAAAGATTAAAGAACACACCCAAGAGAAATAGCTTCTCTGATAATATTTGGATTCCATGTGCAATATAGCAAACTGAGGAAGATAAGGTAGAGGGAAGTTGGTCTCAGGGACCCAGCAAGGATCTACAGTAAAAGTTAGAACTCACAGGGAGAGCAAAGAGCTGGCCCATAATGCAGAAGAGGGAGGGGGAAATCAGGACTTTCTGAGTCTTGGATCTAGTCCTCAGAGGGGTAGTTTGAACTTGCAGAGGCACATAGACTATTGGCGGCCTGAGAGGCCTCCACAGAGAAACATAAGAGTGGAACAGAGCAATGGACATTGCAGATTGCAGTGGCTGGTGAGTTATAGGGGGTCAGGCACACCCCAGGATGGGGCATATGACCAGTAGCTATCTTGAAAAGGGGTCAACAGAACTCAGAACTCAGAGCACCTGCTAGTTGGCTCCATCTAGTGGCTCTGGTACAACTGAGCTCAAACAGGCTGGAAGATCAGGAAGCTGAGCTAAAACCAGTGGGAAGCACTCAGAGGGTTGCAGGCTAAAAGACTCAGGTGTCAAATAGAAACAGAAAGTGACTACATATTTCTTAAGGGAACAATCCAAGAGGAGGAGATAACAATTCCAAATATATATTCACCAAATACCAGCACAGTCAACTTTATAAAACAAACATTAATGGACTTGGAAATCAAATAAGCACTAATGTAATTTTAATAGGGGACCTCAGTATCCCACTGTCACAAATAGATCAACTAGAACATAACAGGAGAGCTTAACACCCTCTTATACCAAAAGGATAGATCAACCAGACAAAAACTCAGAAAAGAAATTACAGAACTGAACCAGAGCTTGAAACAAATGGACTTAGTGGACATATACAGAGTATTCAACCCAAACACAGCTGAATACACATTTTTCTCAGCTGCACATGGGTCATTTTCTAAAAAAGACCACATACTGGTCCATAGCTCATGCTTAAGTATATGCAAGAAAACAGAAATTATCCCATGCACGTGATCTAGCCACAGTGCAATGAAACTGGAAATAAATGAAAAAGAAACCAGAAAAAAATCCCTAAATACATGGAAATTAAATGACACCCTACTCAGCAACCAATGCATCACAGATAAAATTAAACAGGAAATTCAACAATATCTACAATTCAATGAAAATTCAAGCACAAATTATCGGAATTTATGGGATACGACGAAAGTAGTTCTCAGAGGGAAATTCATAGCTGTGAACTCACACATTAGGAAAACAAAAGAGGAACAAATAAATACCCTAATGCTGCATCTTGAACAACTAAAAAAGGAAGAGCAAACCAAACCCAGAGCGAAAAGACGGGAAGAAATCATAAAGATTGGAGCAGAAATTAATTCAATTGAGATGAAGAAAACAATTCAAAGAATTAAAAAAGCAAAATGCCGGTTCTTTGAAAGATTAAATAAAATCGATAAGCACCTAGCTAGCCTCATCAAAAAAAGGACAGAAAAAATTCAAATACAAGCAATAAGGAAAAAAATGGGTGTAATTATGCCATATCCAGTGGAGATTCAGATTATCAATAGCTACTTTGAGAATGTTTATTCTCACAGAATAGAAGACACAGAAGAAATGGACAGATTCCTACAAAAGTACAAATTACCACAACTGAATCGACAAGATGTAACCACTCTCAATAGCCCAATAACAGCCAATGAAATATGAGATATAATAAAAAACCTACCGAAAAAGAAAAGTCCGTGTCCGGATGGATTTACAGCTGAATTGTACAAGAAATTTACAGAAGATGTAGGCCCTATACTCCTCAAACTCTTACATGCAACTGAAAAGGAAGCAATCCTCCCAAAATCATTCCTGGTGGCAAGTATTATACTGATACCAAAAGCAGGGAAAGACACAACTAAGAAAGAGAACTATAGGCCGATCTCCTTCAGGAACATAGATGCCAAAATCCTCAATAATATCAGCAAATCATCAAGAAGATCATACACCAGGACCAGGTAGGATTCATCATAGGGATGCAAGGATGGTTCAATATTCGAAAATCTATAAATGTAATACACTATATCAATAGAGCAAAAACTAAAAACCACATGATCATCTCAATTGATGCAGAATAGGCTTTTCACAAAGTCCAACACTCATTCATGTTCAAAGTCCTACAGAAAATTGGAATAAATGGCCTCTACTTCAATCTGGTGAAAGTCCTTTAGGAAAATCCAATGGATAACATAATCCTAAATGAGGAAAAACTGAAATCTTTTACTCTTAGATCTGGTACAAGACAAGGATGTCCTCTATCACCACTCCTATTCAATACAGTGCTGGAATCATTAGCTACAGCCATTAGACAACAGAAAGAAATAAAAGGAATAAGAATAGGTAAAGAAGAAGTTAAATTATCATTATTTGCCGATGACATATTACTTTACTTGGAAGACCCAAAAAACTCCACCAAGAAGCTACTAGAATTAATACAGAAACTCAGTAGCATAGGAGGATGCAAAGTCAATACCCAAAAGGCAATAGCATTCCTCTACACAGACAACAAACACACTGAGAAGGAAATTATAGAAACAATACCTTTTACAATAGCACCAAGGAAAATGAAATACCTTGGAATTAATCTAACTAAAGAAGTCAAAGAT